CTAGATTAGTTGACCCGAATAAGATAAGAAATCTAGAGAATAGTTCGGTAGCTATCGCAAACACTACATGCGATCACACACACACAACCATACAAAAGGCAGGATGGGATAAGATGACAGTTTTAAAATCTAATGTCACAGCAGGGTGTAAGGAGGGAGAGATTGATAACAACGGAAGCTTTGTTTATCGAATCAACTGAGAGTGAATACGTGTAATAGGAATGATTCAACACCTGTCCACACAGATATCTGCAGTATTCTACTACCACGCCCAATGACGAAGATAAATAGGAGAGGACAACAAAGAAAACTATAGAACTCAAGTTTCAAAGTCGTGTGATTATAATTGATGATATGATTATGAACAGCAATAATGAATTGTGTTCGAAACAACTTTGTCATGCAGTAAATACTAATACTGTTTCACCCACTGACTGTGTGATACATCTGATAAACAAACTAATAAGGGAATTATATTATACATTATATTTCAGAGCATACGTATCAATTTTGTTTTGTCTTTTACAACGGTGACAGTTAGTTATATGCACATTTAACACATCGCTCTTCGTTGATATTCTGCCGTCGCCACACTGTAATCCTCAATTCGGAAGTAACGGCTTTCATTTTGTAGCAGAAACCTAAAAAACAGGAAAAGAGAGAGAAGCCGACTAATAAAGCTTCATATAAACCAGTGGAATAATTAGAAGTGAATCCTTCTGAACTTAACGACTTAGGAATCGACTTGTTACCAGGGAATAGTCTTATGGACTTAGAATATGCAGATGACATTGGCCTGTTAGGGGAGGATGCTGACAAAATGCAGACTCTTTTGAACAACTTGAGCAGCGATTTTCGTATGTTTGGCATGCGATTCGCCCATGTAAAATGTAAGATGCTGCTACAGGACTGGACTACATCTACCCCTAGCTTAGTGATAGGGAGTGAAGTGATAGAACATGTTGACCAGTTCACCTATTTGGGAAGTTGTATCAGCACCAATGGATTGATTGGTGACGAAATCTCAGCACGGATCCAAAAAGCCCGGGCTCCTTTCGCTAACTTACACCATCTCTGGCGTAGGCGTGACATCCGACTATCAACCAAGGGACGTGTGTAATGCTCAGCAGTTCGCTCCGTCCTTCTCTATGGCTCTGAAACATGACCAATATGAGTTGAAGACATGAAAAGGTTGACTATTTTTGATCATAGGTGTCTACGATCTCTTTCTCACGTTAGGTGGTATAATAAGGCAAGTAATGTCGACGTCAAATTAGGCGTAGTGTTGGGCAAAGAGGGAAAGTCGATCGACGAGGCTATAAAGTTACATAGATAGGGATAGCTAGGTCACGTGCTGCGCATGCCTAACAACCGCCTCCCCCGACGGGCATTACTAGCTGTTATTGGTGCAGGTTGGAAAAGAGTAAGCGGTGCCATGCCAAACAAAAACATGGCCTCATCAATCCATGAAATCCTTGACAGTTTAACTGAGTCAGGTAGGGAGATACAGACTTCCGGGTTGGGGCCCGCCCTCGGGACTCTAAGAATCAATGGCTGGAGACAATAGGTGACATGGCTAAAAATCGTTGTCAATGGCTTACGCAGATGTATTCAGTCTCTTGTGTAATCTTTCATATTCCTTTCTACCACTACTAATTCTGTTTCACTCTTATACTTGTCAAAACTCTATTGATTCTCTTCACTCATTTTCTTGTCTACCTTTGTGTGCTATTTGGAACGTGGCAACTCGAACTGATGCACTTCGGTGCCAAGTTCTATGTTGAATCTAGACAAAGGAATAGTAATAACGAAGAACAATATAGTTTCATTTGAGCCATATCACCAATTGTTTCCAGCCTTCATTGGTTTTCACTGTCCATCCCGAGGACCCCAACCAGTCAGGAAGCCAATCTACAACTTCCTACGTGGCTGTCTGGCTGGCTTAAACTAACTGTTGTGGATTTCATTGACGAGTGAAGCCATGTTTTCGTTTGACCGCTGCTAGCTAGCTCTTTTCCACCCTGACCAATCCTATGTCACCTAACATTGCCCATTGTCGAGGAAGGCGATGACCAGGCATGCATATGTAACACATGTCCTAACCACCTCACTCAGTCGATGTAATTTCACAGCCTCATTGTCAATTGATTTCCTCTCCTGCTTACCTACCACTCGACCGATGCCTCACCTCACTATTGCTCACCTTATTATACCACCAACTAACACGGGAGATAGAACGCAGGTAGGCACGTATGATCGAAGACAGCTAGCCAGCCTTTTCATGTCTTCCACTCTCAATGCCCATTTCTCACAGCCAGCCATTAAAGGAGGACGGAGTGGACTGTTGAGCAGTAATTTTAATAAAAACAAGTACTCAACATTGGGTTCTTTTTGGTTGTGGCGTGCATTAGGATCCGAGATATATACATATTTTATCCTTTATTGAGTCTGTCAACTGGAATATAATTATTTACCAGCAAACTCTACGGTATCAAATGACAGAAATATAAATAATAGGTAAGTGATTCCCATCTTTTAGAAGTAAGCTAACGTTGCAAAAATATTCGACCGCCACCTACAACGAGTCCGGTCAAGACTTCCTCTGGCCGATTGCCTACAACTATCTAATATCATCAAATCAATGTGTGCACCATGATGGCGAGCTATCTATTGGCATGGTGGCCACATTGCAAACCTGACTGACTGATAGAATTCAGTCTGCATCAAACAACGAAAGGACTAGCCAGACACGTCACACACACACTAGTTACTGACTAGTGTCAAATCAAAATATATTTTAAAAAACACTCACTGCAAAAACTTAGCAACTGAAGCTTCTAGCATAGGGAGACTATGCGCATCGACTCGGACGCATGAAACCATATCTCGGAGTTTAACTATAAACAGTAAAAATGTTTCAAAAGACAGACATTTTTTAGGTTCAATAATTCACATGAATTGTTGTATGTATGTTGTATGAGCTTGAAAACTATGTACATACCTGTTATTTGCATGGAGGATTTCATTTATCATGAGCTGACATAAGTTAGTGAGAACCATTGGAAAACCAACCAGGGAGTACTGCCAGACAGCTGTTTCCCCCGTCCCAGTTTTGGATTGGCTATTCAGCAGTACGCACCCACCCTACTGACGGGGTTCGAACCCAGGACCCTCTGATTACAAGGCAAGCTAGCTAGCTAGCTCGCAGACCATTGAGCCACTGGAACCCGATCCAATGGTCCTTGAATTCTAACTTCTGCCAATTCACGCACAACATAGCGCGACCATTTAGCAATGTCATCTTCTTCGATGAGTGAGTTACTGCCTCAACTTCAACCTGCTGTACCCTACTAGTCACGGCTTCCCACCAGAACCCCAGGTGCCTAACTGCCTAACTGCATAGGGTCAGTCGCTAGTGAGCATCAGATTAATTTTCAAGTATTGGTTTTGTAGGGATTTGTGTTTGATTGCATGGAGGATTTCATCAACTAAAATACTTTTTAGCAGCATGCACCCACCGACTGGGTGGTTTATCGAATCAACTGCAAACACGTGTAATAGGAATGATTCAACACCTGTCCACACAGATATCTGGAAAATTCTACTACCCCAATGACGACGACAAATAGGAGAGGACGAAGAAAACTTTAAAACTCAAGTATCAAAGTCGTGTGATTATAATTGATGAAATGATTATGAACAATAATGAATTGCCTTCGAAACCTCGTCACCCAGTAAATATAAGTACTGTTTCGCTGACTATGTGATACATCTAATAAACAAACTAATATGGAATTTCTTACTATCACCACCATCATAGTGCGCAAGTTTTACACATCATAAAGGAGGGAACATTAAGACTTACCAAACAACCTCAACAAATGAATTGAACCATAAATATCTGACATTCTCTTATCTCTATGATGTTTCAATAGCTCAGCATATTGTAATCGTTCAAATTTGTATAAAAGATGAGAACCAATAGTAAGATTGAAAAAATGCTGAATTCCAACAACAAATTCACGCCGTACACGCGGATTTATTGGCAACTTAGTAGTAGTAGTAGTAGTCAGCTGAGAGTTCTCAGGTTCAGAAGAAGTGCAGTCTTCTTTTATTTCACCAGTTGATTCTGACTTCTGACTAATTTCAGCCTCAGAAGCTTCTAAGAAGTCTGATAAAACATTACATATTGGCTGAGAGGCAGGCAGTTCATAAAGCTGTGAAAATTTAACCGAAGAAAAAATAACTTTTAGAAAGGAAAACCTCTAGCTTCTTGACACACACACATAAACTCACTAGTAGGGGGAATAAAAGTCACATTTGAATCGGTAAATAAACAAGCAGAATTAGCTTTTATGATGTTAGATTGTAAAATAAAACGAATAGAAGACGGTAAACTTCACACTAGCGGCGTTTATAAAAAAAACCAACGCATTATCCTCATAGATGTTTAGACTTCAATTCGTCTCATCCGTTATCTGTCTGTTAAGTCAGGCTTAGTTAAGTTAAGTGTCTTACAAACCGAACAAGAAAAGACCTAAATGATGAGATAAAACAGATGACCTCTGCGCAAGTATGTTAAAATTGTTTTTGTAGATATACTACTTAATGTCTTTGGCGTGTAAGCAGCTGACGAGAAAGCAACGAAATAGAAGATGGTACCAGTCACTTTATTCTGCAATAACCACTGTTGTTCTTGCTTTGTTCAAATAATAACAATAATAATAATGGAATTTTGATACATCGTTGAATTCTCTGAACGATGAGAGGGGTGGGGGTCGCAAGGTTTCTCCCTGTAACAAAAACTACTACACATCCGAATGCACTCTCGACTAGGCTTCACTGCGATTTTCAACCCATCGAGATGCAACGGTGGCGAGCCAACCAACACTCAAGATGAGAACATTCCTGATCACCCGGAACCAAGGTGAGCCAAGGTACATACTGTGTAACATCTAAGTGACCAAATTGATCACTAAATTAACAAATTTCGACCAACGCTAAAAAATTGGAAATTGCTTTGCTGACTGGATGATATAACGCAACTGAAGATTACTTACCCGAGCTTGACGAGTAATCAAATCCCAGTCATCGATAAGCCAAGATTTCAAAGATAGAGGCAGTGACATCGATAAACGAGGCTGAGACAGAAGGCCATCTTCCTGAGATATGAAAAACAGTGAAGAATATAACGGTAAAGTTGAGAGTATGAATACATACATATAAAAAAATAATGCTTTTGCTCCCAACACCTACAAGCCCGCTCAGTTTCTTGTCAACATGCTACTCCTTCTATCTAATTAGTGGTGCTTAAAGTTTAACTTGGCCACACATCGTACCCCCTGGGAAACAAAGAACTGCCAGATGCTAAGGGACAAAACGACTTAGGAATTATTGTAAACCATGACGCAAAAACAACCGAAAATTGTAATCGAGCTGCAGCTAATACTAGAATGCCATGAGTACTTTGAAGGGCTTTCAAACGAACGACTAGACGAGTCTTTGTTCTAAGTACTCTATGCAACGTATGTCAGCAGGCCTCATCTAGAGTACTGCATACAAGCGGTGATTTCATGCTTCAAAAAGAGGGCACAAATCCTAGAAAGAGTACAGAGGGTAGGAACGAAATTAATTAGTGGTAACCCAAACCTTCCTATGACAAGAGGATGGAGCATTCAAATCTCTTTCCATTATCATACCGAAGGAGGAGGAGAGGTGACTTAATTTTGGCATACCGTGCAGTAAAGGATGATTTAGGAATTCATAGTCTTCACCGCAAAAAGGTGCTCAGACCTAGGTCGAATAAAAATACATCTACAATTTAATTTAGATTCTCTCACAGAATGGTCAACAATTGCAACTCCTTACCTGATTCAGTAGTAACAGCTCCATCGGTGAACGCTTTCAAAGAGAGAAATTAGATTTCTGCAGAGATGTATATTTCAAGGAATAACGCAGACCAGAAGAGCTTTCTATCTTTATTATCTTGATTTGAAAAACAGCTTTAGCTCAAAGAAATATTTAGTTTCATGAACAACTTTTCAAGAGGATTTGAAAACCAGAGGACAGTTAGAAAAGGGAATTTGTTCGCAGGAGTGAACATACAGAAAATTAAATTAATGAGGACAATCTCATGAGGACTAGTGGTCACAGTGTTTAAATACGTTTCGAGTGAGCTAGATAACACAAATATGGACTTAAAATTGTCATTTGACACGACGCTGCTACTTTATTATCTCCTCCAAAGAGGAATTTTTTATCTCACAAAATGAATCACAATACCAAAGTACAAACCATCTCGGAAAAACAAATTTAAATCGCATAGAATGAAAAATTCTGTCACAATAAACACGAAATACTTGCATTTTCAAGAGACTTCAGCACTGATGACACTCGGCCTTTCCTTCTCCTACTTGATACTGTGACAGATTGAGTAGACGGTGTGTTTGCATCTTCACAACACTTAATGGGTGGTTTAATATCTTCAGTCTCTTTCAAATCAGCAGGTACACGAGTATCAGTTTTCCCGTTGGTTTCTTTGTTGGTCTTTACGCTCTTGGCCTTAGGAGCATCTTCCTCTATAGCGCCACTTAGTATACAACCGGGTAATATCTCACCTTGTTTCACTTGACCAGGCTTCAATGTCCGTTCCACGTCCTCCAGGACTTCTGGAGGTGGCAATGACTGTGACTTTAAGTCGGACTTCCTCAAAACTTTAACCTTGCCCGATTTTCTGAAAATTGTAAGAAGCATCATGATCAGAAACATTGCTTTACACAAGTTACATTTGTCGCTCTAATTCTTTTTGTTTCCTCAAACCCTCTTCATTATACTTGAACATACGTTTCTCTGTCACCCATTCATCCCAGCTATATCAAAACGTAAATCAATACTGAAATATTATTACTTTTTATTCCAACCTTGGTAATGCACAAAATACATTACACCATCTTCTTTCACTTTGACGTCTAGACATTTCGCCTCATACATAAGAGGCCCATGGAAACAAAGTAATTTTTCACCTTAATGCACGTGATTCTATATAAGAAAACAGTAAGCATCTTACCTATTTCATATTTTGGTTTCAAATCCAAGCTGGCAGCCTGTAGACGGCCGTAGGTCATTTGATCTGCTGATGTCTAGCGGCTTTATTTAATGAAAAAACTTCGAAAATAGGTGATTTTTCGTTGTTTTACACACTTTTACACCTATATTGCTGCTAAAAGTTGATGTAATAAGGCGTTTTTAGCATAAACAGGAAATGATGGTGTCCTTATCCGGCCGTAATTTACGGCCAATTTACAAATTGTTGAATTACGTACTTTTGCGTTCGGAAAATGTCGAATTACTTGAATAGACATATTATAACGACTCTTAGTGAATTTTTTTTGCAGTTTAAAGGATTATACATGGACATGATGAGGTGGGATAGTTGGTTTTGTTGATTATTTGATTTACTTTGTTGTTTACTTCTGCTAATGCTGTCAAAGCTCCTGTACATGTATTTCATTAAAGTAAATCTACAGAAATACCTAGAAATTATATACGCATAGTATTTACTTATTTTATAGCATATACTTGATGTTAACAGGTAGATACAATGTCCATTTTGTCTTCCTGAAAAATATTGACTGATGTAGTTGTATACAATTAAACTGATTATTTCATGATTTTAAACATGTTAAGTAGTTATTTATTGCATTTACAGTGGTAACAATGTCTACATCTTTAGAATTGTTTTGTTCTTTTTCAGATAATATCTGCTTTCGAGAATTTCATGGATTTGGGCGATAAAGAAAAAGATATCTGCCGTGTTTTTGATTATGTATTACATGTTTATTCATTAATAAATGTATTCCTCGTAATTCGTTTGTATATTCTAGTTGATAAAGCTGATTTGTAGCCTTTGCGTAATTTGTGAGGTACGGAGTATTTGACGTGATCTTAAAAATGCTAGGTAAAATTAGATATTTGGAGAGGCTTATTGATAAAAAGACTCTGTCGTGCCGTAATGAACTTACTGCGTCCACTTGTAAAAGGAAACATTGAAGTTATAAGCGCTTAGTTATATATCGTCTTAGTAGGAACCTATTAATTGACTTCGGATTCATAGTCAAACAAGGTTAAAAGTAAATCTACCTGAGATAGTTAGCTTGCGATTTCTACTTATCGTAATAAACCAAGATGGTAATAATGTACCTATACTGTTCCATATGTGTAACTAAGTGCAACTACGGTTATCGCATTAATTAAATACAGAATGCCTACGGTTCGCAGCTACAGAACACGGTACGTTGCTATCTGTTCATGTAATCGCGTAAACAACAGTTTCCCAGAGGCCGCATTTACTCCTAAAAGTTTGCCCTTAATTCCTAACTTAGCACGTGTTACTAACGTCACTGGGACACAATCGCGTTACAACAGAAGGAACACAGATTCATTACAAAAGTGTTTATTAAACAAAAATTAGATTTAAGATGTACAGATAATTCAGATGAGTAGTCCTCCGTCACTGTCAGTAGGTTTCATCTGCGTACCAGCACAAATATGTTTCTCCATAAGCCTGAAAAGGTTTAAGAAAAGCATTATTAACTTAGATGTTACATGTGTGATCTGAATCATAGGCATTTACAAGTAATCACAAACAATATATATAAGTAGCTATAAGCTTGAACAAAGATTTTAATAAGTGACAACAGCTTTAAGACAAATAATACGAGTTTTGACAGCATTAACAATAGTAGGTATTATTATCGCAACGAATCCATCATTAACTTAGATAGACAACTACTTATTATACAATCATATCAATTAAATGTATCACTTAATCTTATGAAGTAGGTGTTTACTTACTTTCATTGCACTCTCGCAATACTGATGTGGTCAACTAGCTTATTCCAAATGAACTCAAGATTAATCCTGAAAGGTTATGGAGACCCAGTTTATTTCAACTAAAAACATGTAGCCTACATGTATTACTTACTGAGACATCTGATACCTGCTTTGCGATCTTCGTGACAGGAAAACAGTATATGTGGATTTACCTACATATACTGTTTTGATCTTGATATAGGGTGAATTCATTGAATTCAGCAAATAAATCCTCTGGTTTATCAAATCTAACATGAGCTGTAATAGTATGTGCTGTCAATTATGCACCCGACTTCATAAAACGCTCCTGGCAGTTGCGAACTTAACCAAGCAGATAAATGATGTTTGAAATTACCGCAGGTCGAATGACAAACTGGCCAATCACAAGCGAGCAAATCACTTGTTTATCTCACTCGCGGGCACTCAAAATTACGGCCGTCGACAGGCTGCCATCCAAGCTACTCATAGTCACTCAAAATTCAATACACGCTCTCTAATGTCCAATATCCAATATCCTGATTACGAGCTAGTATAAAGCAGTGATTTCTTTGAACTCGCCTCTTGATTGTAAGGTAGAGGTTCCAGATATGTGGTGATCTCCTGCATAGTAAGTCCCGCTACTCGACTGCTTTATTTCTGGTAGACTGCAAGAGGAGTGGTGCGGGGATTGGTCAAAATGTGGTTTGTAGTATGCAGTATGTTAGGACTGTGTTGCTGTCGTGAATGGAGTTTGGCTTAACTCCCCTTGGTAACTCGGTGTAGTCATAAAAGCAGAATAGTAATAATAACAATAGGTTGCAGTGTAGATAATATAGGTTGAGATAATTGAAATAATAAAGGTGACCTAAGGAAAAGATAGAGTAGTCGGTACAGTGAGAGAAGACAGAACGGGTCGTGGGGATTTAGTTGGCATGCTTATCCATTGACAGTGTGGTTTCAAATTTTAAGAGGATAAGCCATTGAGACACAACCTTGCATTTCTGCATGATTGTCCAGCTTCCGCTTAAAAGTCTCCACAGATGGCGCTGTAGTCACGGCCGCCGGTAAAGCGTTCTAGAGACAGCAAACTCGAAGCGAAAAGAAATGTGAACGCACTCGAGTCTTTGGTCTCTAGTGTGTTACCATTAGCAGGTTACCTCCAGGAAGCTCCCAGCTGGCTTTGCATAAAGTGTAAATTTGTGTGGGCCTTGGCGACGTCCCTCGTGTAATTTCCACTGGTGTCTAGCTTTTCTGTTAGAATAAGACCTAGATCGCGCTCTGATGGCACACAACTCAAGTTCTGGCCACCAAGGGTGTAATTTACACCCTGTGACCAGCCGGAATGAAGTTGCACTACTTTGCACTTCTTTAGGTTGAAAGGCATTCTGTTAGCCAGAGCCCAGTCTTCCAGAGTTTGCAGGTCAGCCTGCAATCTGTCTGAGTCTTCCAATGAGTTTATTGCCCTCCAAATCTGTACGTTGTCAGCGTAAAGAAGCGCAGAGCAGTTCAGTTGAAAGGACAGGTCGTTGATATAAATCAAAAACATCAACGGACATAAGATAGAACCCTGAGGAACCCCTTATGCCGAGGTGAGCCAGAATGATCGGATGCGGTTGACTTTGGTGCAGAATTCTCTCTCGTCTAAGTAATCTTTCAGCCATGCGAGAAGTGCTGCAGAAACACCCTCCTTGCTTATTTTGAGAAGGAGCAGATCATGGTGAACTGTGTCGAATGCTTTTGCAAAGTCGAGAAAGATCACATGGACTGGTACCTTTACGTCCCAGGATAGTGTCCAATTGTTCCAAGCTAGTAGAAGATTCGTCACACAGGATCTTCCCCTCCAAAAACCGTGCTGCGCTTCATGGAGTTGGTCAGTCCCGTCGAAGCATTTTCCCATGTGGCCGTCAGTGAGACTTTCCAATATCTTCGATATCACTGGAAGTAGCGCAACTGGTCTGTAACTGGTCGCATTCTGCCGGTCGCCACCCTTGAAGACATGGGATAGGATGGCTCGTTTCCATTCGCATGGAGGTTTCCCTACATCAAAGGAATGTTGAAACAGATCACTTAGGGGTTGGCAGAGACTCTCTGAACACTGCTTCAGGACGCATGGTCTGATGTCATCACAACCTGAAGACTTTCTCGAAGTCAACTTTCCCAATTTTACGAGTACCATAGTCAGGGTAATTTGAAATGTACCCAGCAGGTTTTCGCGCCTTGGTTTTGCATTGTAATCTTGATGTTTTGTGGGGGTAAAATCCTCGTTACTGTTTAGTTGCCTGTGAAAGGCTAGACTGTATATCTCTGCCATACCGACCACCTTCATCCAATAGGGAATATGATAATATACTCAGCACTATTTTTAATGTTACAGCCAATCTTCCCTACAGTTATAAAATTATCGGAGGTGATTTCAACATACCAGATGTATCATTGTCTTCACTCAGAGGACCCCAAATGTATGATAGTCTCCTGAATTCCATCGTCACAGGAGGGTGGACACAACACATAAATTCACCCACTGTCGTTGTTGTTCCCCTGGGTTCCTAGTGGAATATAGGGCTTCAACTGCACGCCTCCACTTGCTTCTGTCTTGTGCTATACTCTTCACTTGCATCCATGTTAATCCATACTGTTTCAGCTCTTCTTCACACGATCTCCTCCATGTCACCCTTGGACATCCCACACACCGCTTCCCTTTCGGGTTCCACTCGAGCGATGGCCTGACGCGCAGTGTCACCCAACGGCCTTCTCAGCGAGTGTCCAATCCATCTCCACTTCTTTCTCCTGCATATTTGTTGGGCGATTGGTTCTTGTTTCCTTTGTTTGTTCCCATAGTTTCTTGTTGGTTATTGTTCTTTCCGGCCATCTGATCTTCAGTATAGAACGAAGACAGTTGTTGTTGATAAAGGTCTGCAACAGGCTGTTGGAAATATTCTTTGTGACTCGCTGCCAAGTTTCTGATCCGTGTAGAACAACTGACTGACTTGACGTTTGTATTGAAAATCCGAATTTTGTTGTTGATGCTGAGTGAAGAAGATTTCCAGATTGGTTTCAGGTTGATGAATGTGTTTCTCACCTTCCCGATTCTCGATTTGACATCCTCGTCCGTTCCTCGTGAAGTTGAGTCAATGCTCCTTAGATAGATAAGTGACAGAAGTAACCTCTTTCA